GATACCTGTAACGTTTTAATAATGTTCTAATTTAAGGATACCTATATCGTTTTATTAATCATTCTAATTTAACAATAACTGTAACGTTTTTAATAATCGTTCTAATTTAACGATACCTATATCGTTTTATTAATCATTCTAATTTAAGAATAACTGTAACGTTTTTATTAATCGTTCTAAATTAATGATACCTATATCGTTTTATTAATCATTCTAATTTAACAATAACTGTAACGTTTTTAATAATCGTTCTAATTTAACGATACCTATATCGTTTTATTAATCATTCTAATTTAACAATAACTGTAACGTTTTTAATAATCGTTCTAATTTAACGATACCAATTATGTTTTAACAATCGTTCTAATTTAACAACTGTAACATTTTAACAATAGTTCTAATTTAATAATAACTGACGTTTTAACAATCGTTCTTATTTAACAATACCTATAGTGTTTTAATAATTGTTCTAATTGAACAGTAACTGTAAGGTTTTAACAATCATTCTAATTTAACGTTAACTAACATTTTAATGATTGTTCTAATTTAACAATAACTAACATTTTTAATAGTCGTTCTAATTGAACAAGAACTGTAAAGTTTTAATAATCGTTCTAATTTAACTATAACTGTAACATTTTAATAATCGTTCTAATTTAACAATAACTGTAACATTTTAATAATCGTTCTAATTTAACAATAACTGTAAAGTTTTAATAATCGTTCTAATTTATCAATAACTGTAACATTTTAATAATCGTTCTAATTTAACGATATCTATAACGGTAGATACTGTATCCTTCAATATGCAATATGCAATATTCACTTTCAGAAGGGTTTTTTTTTCCCAGCTGTTGAACCATAAAAGCATTGACAGCCAATCAGAATCCACATGACTTTACAGACAGTGAATATCATTATAGTTATCATTCTTAGTGTGAGTGGAACCTAAATAGTACAAGATTATAGTAACGGTGTACCCAAAAAAAAAAAGAAAGTGTATTTTTGCATGTTTTTTTTTTAAGGCTAATTTTGCTCAGTTTTTGTGCAGTTGAAGTGATGGATCTCTGTTGAATCTTTCAGTTAAAAAAAATGTAATGTGACACTCCCACATAAGTAATGAACTTAGATAATGATGGACGTGAATTCAGCTAAATGCTAATATGCTAGCAACACAAAAAGGGGGGTCTGTGTTGTCAAGACATGATTTGAGTGTTGCTACATACTCTACCGTGTGGACTTTCTCAAAACGAAGTATGCACTTTTAGGGTGTAGTATAGGTACGCAAATTGGGGCGAATGATAATTTTCAGAAATGATTCACCACGCTTACATTCTCTCTTTACAGTGATGAATAATCCTGAGCTTCCTCTGGACCCAAACCTGCAGACAAGTAATCTTCTTATAACCTTCCTCAAGTATTCCTCCATCGTAATGCAGGACATCAAAGGCAAGCTATCACTGTTTCTCTCCTCTGTGCTGTCCAAAACCTAGCGAGCTTCCTTGCGCCTACCTAGGCAGCTGCCTTCTAAGGCAGCATCCAAAGTCAAACAGAACCTCGACTCGCTATGGACTTCAGTGGAGTTTGTTATTAGCATGTCGCTAAGCTAATAACACGATACTCTTATAAGCATAAAAACACAAAGGACACACATTTTAGCTAAAATAGTCATTTTTAATTAGATTAATTAGATTATCAGCATTTTTCCCGCTTTGTCCACCATTTTGGATTTTTGCGCTTGTTGCAATGCATTATGGGATTGAGTTCTTTGCAAAGGATGCATGCAGTTTTTAATTTTTACAAAAGAAGGTAAGGCGGCATTGCCTTACCTACATGTTGGAAAAGCTTCTATGGCAAAGTGCCTTGAAGTGCTGCCTAAGTAGGGAGCTCACTAGATTTTGGAACAGAGCCATTTATTTCTCTTCGTTTGTTTGTGCACATCTTACAGTAGTTTTCCTCTGTATGTTTTCAGATGAACACAGACTCAACAGTGCCAGGCTTTGCCTCATCATTCTGACCTGCATAGCCGAGGTAATGCATTGTGGGTAATTATTTATTTTCCATTTGTTCACTGTTTGACCGTTTGTCCTCTCGCTGTCCGTTTTAAAGGACCAGTACGCCGACGCCTTTCTCCACGATGATAACATGAACTTCAGGGTCAACTTGTACAGAATGGTAAGAGTCCCTGCTGAGGTCTCAGTTGTTTTTAAATGGCAGGATCCAAATAAAGACGATGTTTCTGGCATATAAAGCAGCAAACTGCCCGGCCCCATGTTACAGCCAATCCATTACCAAATGGGACGTCCCAGAGCCTCACTGCTGATGCAGTAAATCCAGTTATCTAGATGCATGAAAGCAGGATCATTTGTGCACTTTGGCCAGTCTTAAAGGGACCTTTCATCCAAAAATGAAGTCCTTGCAATGAAAGTCCAGTGTTATTTGTACTTGTATCTTTGAGTGAAGTCACTTCTCTTATGCATTTCAGCCCATGAGGCATCGAAAGAAAGCGGCGGATAAGAGCATCCCCTCTCAGCCTTTAGTTTGTGCGGTTCTGGGTGAGTTTTGCGATCAGATTGAGTGACGTCTTTATCGTTCTGTGAGCGTTTATGTGAGTATTCTTTGTCTTTGCAGATCTGATGGTCGAGTTCATCGTTACTCATATGATGAAGGAGTTTCCTATGGATCTCTACGTGTGAGTTTCCTTTTAATTTGCAGCTGTAAATACTGCAATGATGGATATGTGGATATGGTGAGAATGAATTAAGCCATTTGTTGTAGACGCTGCGTTCAGATAATCCACAAACTGATCTGCTACCAGAAGAAGTGCAGAGTTAGGGTGCACTACACTTGGAGAGACTTCTGGTCAGGTATGATCTTTACGCCGTGTGTCTGAGCAAAACACAGGCTCTGTGTGTCACTCTGTGTGTTCTGGGGTTTGTTTCTTTGCTTTTAGTTTGTTTTTGTCTTTTCGCTTTTTGGTTTGCTATTTATTTTTACTTTAGTTTTATATATAGTCAATATTTTATATATATATATATATATAGTAACATATAGTTTTACACTTACATATTGTTGCTCTTTTGTTGGTTTTGATTGCTTCTGTTGTCCTCGTTTTGCATCTGTTAAATTATTTATTTTTCGGTTAAATGATTTACATTTTTTAAATGTTATTTTGTATTTCTTAATTTGATTCTTTTTTTTTTAAATAGTTTATTTTTAAATTCACTTTTGTTTTTCATTTTATTTACATTTTTTGTGTTTTTAGTTTTTTCTTTTGTGTTTTTTTTGTTCTTGTTTTTATTTATTTTTATTCACTTTATTTTTCTTTAATATCTTTTTTTTTTGTTCTTCTGTTTTTTGTTTATTTTTATTCACTTTTGTTTTTGATAAAATGTCCCCCCCCCCATGTCTTTTGTCTTTTATTTTTTTATTTTCCTGTTTTTTCTTTGTTCTTGTTTTAATGTAATTTTTATTTGCATTTTTCTTTGATTTTTCCATTTTTTGTTGTTCTGTTTTTTAAATTATTTTTATTGACTTTTGTTTTTGATTTCTTTTTCCCCCCCCGTTCCCTTTGCTTTTGTTCTTGTTTTTATTTACTTTTATTCATTTTATTTTTTCTTTGATTTGTCTGGTTTTTGTTCTTCTGTTTTTTGTTTATTTTTATTCACTTTTGTTTTTGATTTCTTTTTCCCCCCCCGTTCCCTTTGCTTTTGTTCTTGTTTTTATTTACTTTTGTTTTTGATTTCTTTTTCCCCCCCCCGTTCCCTTTGCTTTTGTTCTTGTTTTTATTTACTTTTATTCATTTTATTCATTTTATTTTTTCTTTGATTTGTCTGGTTTTTGTTCTTCTGTTTTTTTTTTAATTCACTTTAGTTTTTGATTTCTTCATTGTTTTTTCTTTTGCTTGAGCTATTTGTTCTTTTGTTTTAATTATTTATTTTTTCATTTTGTTTTTGTGGCTCATTATTTATGTATATAATATACTAGCAGTTGTGTGGAGTCACAGGTCAAGACAGTGATTACTTCAGTGTGTTTCTTCAGACAGCTGTATGTATTGATTGTGTTTTCCAGCTCTCATTAACCTTCTGAAGTTCCTGCTGTCTAATGAGACCATCCTTCTGGCGAAGCACAATATCTTCCAGCTGGCTCTCCAGGTAAATCACACTCGCTGTGAGCGGCGGTTCCTCAGGTTTTTAAGTACAGATTGGGCATTTCTCACCTTGCTTGACATGTTTTTGTGTGCTTTAGGTGGTGAACCTCTTTAACATGTTCATCACGTACGGAGACACGTTTCTGCCCACGCCCAGCAGTTACGACGAGCTCTATTATGAGATTATACGCATGCATCAGGTGTTTGATAACCTCTACTGCATGGGTAAGTCAGCTGAGCTCAGTCCTGCTGCGTACATGTTTATTTTCATCCATCATCACTAAAGCACTAACCTGATCTTCATGACGCCGCAGTGCTGCGAGTCTCCACCAACGCAGGCCAGTGGAAGGAGCCTGCTAGTAAAGTTACTCAGGCTCTCGTCAACGTCAGGTCAGAGCGCTCACATTCACCTTCATTCTAAATCACTTTCACTATAAACAATGAGAGGATTTATAGCACTCTTTGTTTAAATTATCGGTTTTAAGTATTCTGAAATAAGATGCATTATATAATATTAATAATAAAATAATGTTAAATATATAGGTGATTTATATAATGTAATTCAGGTTACATGGCAGTTATTTTATAAAGATGTTATATATGTGAAATTGTTGATTTACATGTTGAAATTGTGGAAGATGATAATAGTTGATGTCTATGACTAGCATTTGAACCTTTTTATTTATTTATTTATTTTCCTCCTTTGATTTGGTTTTAATTGGTTTCTTTTTGTTATTGATTTCTTTTTTTGTTTTTCCCCTTTGCTTTTTGTTTCTTCTTTAGTTTTTTTTACTGTTTTATTCTTATTTATTTATTGTTTTTTTTTGTCCTTGTTTTTGTTTATTTTTTTCTCTGCTTCTTTGTTTTTGTTCTTTTATTTATTTAGTTTTGGTTGGGATTTTTTTTTCCGTTTGATTTAGTTATACAGTATATATAATATATCGTTTTTGTTTTATGTCTTTGGTTTGTTTGTTTTTGTTTTGTTTTTTCTTTGTATGTTAGATTATAAAAAGCATTAAATGCATAAACAAGCAAAAATTTATAATAAAATTCATACTAAATATACAGTCTAATTTATACAGTGTACTTTCATTTACATGCCAGTTATATTTCAAACATGGGTGAAATGGTGAAAGATCATAATCATAGTTTGAGTGGTTTAGTTGAAGTCTGTGACTAACATTGGGCAGCTTTAGTGAAGTGGGTGTTTTTGTCTTTGTTTCGGTTAGTGTGCGAGGGGCCTGGTGGTGAATTAATTATTGATTTGAGAGTCTGAGGTAATGTGGAAGCATTCTCTGGGCTTTCAGAGATGTCACCATGTGTTTGTGCCACACAAAAGAAGTTGAGCGCTGTTTTTTTGCAGCATGCATTACTGCAGAATATTTAAAAGAGCCACACCTTTGAAAGCTCTCTGTCACATGTTCAGAATATTCCTTATTTTGCCCGTTTCTGTAATTCCAGAGCCATTATTAACCACTTCAACCCTAAGATTGAGTCGTACGCCGCTGTGAACCACATCTCACAGCTCTCAGAAGATCAGGTAATGGTTTAGATGGACGTTTACACAGTCATGTAACGGTTTGATCTCTTACGTTCTAACAGACTTTAATGACTTTAATGAGTTTCCGCACAGAACATTAACTTTTAGCCTCATTGTAATATAGCGTAATTTAGATGTAATTTTCTTATTTATTAGCAAGGATGTGATCAAAAGTGACAGTAAAGACATTTATAATGTTATAAAAGATTTAGATTTTCATAGAAATGCTGTTCTTTTGAACGTTTCATTTATTTTTCTTTATAGTTATCGTGCTTGGTGTGAACGAGCCTTTACCGTTTTTACAGTATTTTGAACCAAAAAAAGCAGAAGACTTATTTCAAAAATATTAAAATCTTACTGACCCCAAACATTTTAATGGTGTATATAGTATAAAAATATATATATATGGGTCAAAGACAAAAAAGGGTTTAAGCATAAAAGCAATACTTCTTTAAATTGTTGTTTTTCACACACACACACACACACACACACACACAAAAAAAAACTTTTAAAAAAGGTTTTCTGTTAAATTTAATTGTATTTGTATTTTTGTTTTTGTTTTTGTTTTACAGAAGACACCCACTAGAATACCATTCAGTGTAACAATCTTGTCGGGCATATTTACAACAAAAATCAATTTATGACATAAGCTAATTACTTTCACCCCAAATACTAATTAGTTGTTATTTTACATTTTAAAAATTTGCCACTAACCTAGGTTTTGCCCATTTGTCAGTAAGAAATTTTTACTCATTTAAAACACAGTAAAATGTAATATGCTCCCTTATTCTTTTATATAATTTAATATGTACACGTCAGAATAATCATTTTGACATTTTATTCTCCAAAAACTTATTTAAAACTTTAAATGTAGACACTTTACTTACATTTAATGTGCTTTCTATGGACATAAAATCACTTTTGTACATTTCTTTTAATGCAGACATCTTAACGTCTTTGACCCATGTATATATGTATTTAATTCATAATAGTAACATCATTGTAATTATATGAATGTATAATAATTGATTAATAATAAAACATATAATACTTTGTACAGCAACCTGAGCAGTATAATGTAATTTCCACAACATTTCAGATTATCATTCATTTTATGCTGGAAATGAAATTTTTTGAGTAAAATGGCTATAGTTAGCTTTTTTTAATGCATCTACGTGCACCCATAGTTTTTGCATAACTACCTGTGTACTGTGGCACCGTCTTATCGCCCGACTTTAACTCAATTCTGTCAGATGAGAGAATTGGTTTTGAATCTGAATGAGCAAAACTCTGTATATGTGTGTAGGAAAGTGGCTGATTGGGATGGTCACAGGTGTTGCTTAATTAGCCTTTGATCTGTAGGGTAATGATGCCGTGTGCTGGAAGTGAGGGCAGTTTTACAGACGGTTGTGCCAGCTGTCGCTCGCAGTCCCAAACTCTTGTCTCTTTTATCTCGCTTTGCCAGATGCTCCCGCATGCCCTCTAACAGACCTCTGTCCAGCCTCTCTGGCTCTCTTAGTTTAGTTTAAGTTTGGGGATTTGTGGTCCATCAGCCCTTTTCATGCCCTGGAGTGTCCCAGTTAAACTCCAGACCCATTCGATTTAAAATTACTGTGCACAATGTGACCTTAAACAACTTGTAGTTGTGGGAACGCTTCTTTGAAACAATGTCTTTCCGTGATTGCCACAGAAAACTGTTTTGATTTGTCTTTCATATTGTAAAAATAAACAATACGTACTAACAAAGAAAGACAATTGCAGTTTGCAAGGGGTCTAGGAGTGTCTAAGCCTCCCTGAGTTCTTTCAGAATCTAACTTGGGAGTCTCTTTTAAAAGATCTACCAAAAGAATCAACCAAAAATGGCCTTTTTCAAAATATAATTACATTTTAATAGAATGTTTAGTCACATGTAATAAAATACATTTAATTAGAGTGATTTTATTTTTATAAAAAAACAAATTTAAATGAAAATAATAAATCAGTCAAAATAAGTTATTGTAATAAATAATATTTTTCCCAGGGTAATTATTCATTTCATTAACATTGTTTTTGATAGATTTGTAATAAATCATAAAACGTAAAATGCAGGAAAATAAAACAACAGAATTTCTATAAAATACTACTACTAACAATTAATAACAACAATAATAACAAATCTAGGGCATTTCATTTCATATTATTGTTCTAATTGTAATAAATTAATACGATGCTAAAGTTCTATGAATTCCTGTCCTTTTTTAATTAAAAATAGCATTTACATACCATTATTTACCGTTTTGAATATGATATACATTTTTATAATGATAATTTGGGTGTGAAATTACATCACAATGCAAACAAATATTAATATTCCTAAAACAGGTCTAATTTTCATGATGTTTCAGCACATTTCCTCTCAAATTCTTATCAGAATGTGTAAAAATCTCATACCATAATACAATAAGAATTATTATCCTGTCCTTTTTTTATTAAAAACATAATTTCAGTGTAACACATAACGCCGTAATGCATGATTAAAATTGTACTTGTTATTTACCGTTTTGAATATGATATACATTTTTATAATGATAATTTGGGTGTGAAATTACATCACAATGCAAACAAATATTAATATTCCTAAAACAGGTGTAATTTTCATGACGTTTCAGCACATTTCCTCTCAAATTCTTATCAGAATGTGTAAAAATCTCATACCATAATACAATAAGAATTATTATCCTGTCCTTTTTTTATTAAAAACATAATTTCAGTGTAACACATAACGCCGTAATGCATGATTAAAATTGTACTTTGGAATTTAAATGATATATCTTTATTATGGTAATGAGAACTTGAGGAGAGAATTGAATTTCCTTGTCATATTAATAAATCGATAGGCTTTATTTTTAAGCAAAATAAAATTTCTTATTCCTTCAGCTTTTTAAAATGTGACCTGGACATTTCATGAGATTCACAGAAGCGCATTAATTTTTCAAAAATCTGACAGTCTCTTAATTCTCTTGGCTCTCTCTCAGTATATCCCAGTATTGCAAGATGTTTCAGTATGGTATCATGAAAAGATATGAAGTTGCAGTGTAAAAACAGCTGTATGTTGAGTTGTATAACACTGGGTAAAGAAAGAAACAAATGTATTAACTTGACACTCCACTGAAAGCTAGTTCTAGAGAATTCGGAACATTCTAGAATCCAAACCAGTTCTAATTAGTCCAGTTTAAACCAACACGTGGGGAGGATAACTGAATAAAACAAACACTTTTCAAAGAAATTCTTGGTAAATTCTTCCTGGGTTTGGTCCTAATTGAGTATTTGGCTTCCTTTGGCTTAGTATTCTTATTTACGGGTGTTTGTTTCCTTATTAAATCTTATTTTGTACAACGATGGCCAGTGTCTTGGTTTGTGTTACGGACTTCAACGTTAACCCTATAACCCAATGCTCTGGCATCTCGGTAGCGAGTCGTCTTCTAAAAAAAAAAAACGTTTTATCAATGACTTTACCTCTAAAAGAAGCAGTTAATAAGTTAAACTCCCTTTCAAGGATTTATTCCCTATGGCCGCCGAGTTTGAGATGTTCGTGTGGCAGTGAGATAAAAGAAAGCTTTTACGTTCTCCTTCAGAAGGGCATATGCTTTATAAAGATAACATTATCTGCTTAAATGTAAGTTGTGGCGACTGTATGGACAAAAGTATTGGAACACATATTATTTGAAAAAGTAACTCTAATCTGATTACGTAACTTGCGTTAATTGTAATGTGTTATACTAACATTGTATGTATAGCTATATACAGTGGCCACGAATAAAAAATTTGTTTCCTCTTTTTATTAACGAGTTCTTAATTAATGGGAAGCTTAAATCCTAGACCAACTAGAACCCCTTGGGAACTATGATTGGGGGAATCTTTCCCTTTCACATGAAATTTTCTCATTTATTTTGAATTTACTGGATGTTGTCGAGACAAATTCAGTATCATGCCTTCACATTAAATTCCCGATGGCGTGGATTCTATTGAAACGTATGGAAGCCAGTTTCCGCCAAGCAATTAAAAAACAAACAAACAAAAGGTTATACATATTGACATACGAGTAAATATTGATCACAAACTCTCCTCTTATTACTTCATGTATCAGTCTGAAGGGAACGATTTCTCTGGGAGTTTGTGTTTGGACGGATTTCCTGAAATGCTGCTTATATAGAGACGTCTCCATTGTTAAAAGTGCTTCATAAATAAAGCTGAACTGCACAAAAACCATGCTGGTTTTTTTATTCCTTTGGGCTTATAGCGTTTAACGTTTATCACAGCTTTTTCGATATCTTGCCCAACCACATTTACACTCTTCAATCTCTTTATTTTCAGTCTCTGCTTTCATTCAGCCTTCGTTTAGTTCATTCTTTCTTCAACTATTTAACTTCTTAGACCTATTCAGCAAATATTTTTCCAACTGGTTTACAGAGGGCACATTTTGTATAATGAGCTCTAATTGCGGAACTTGGGCAAACACATCTTAATCAAAGATATCTTTTGAGGGATATTTCTGCTGACTATAATGAGCTGCGGTCTCATTTCCAGTGCACAGACAGAATGACAGCGACAAGACACGGATAATAAAAATGAAATAGGTGAATAAAAATAAGTATATAAATATACAAAACCCTTTGGTTCTCTTCTAAACTATGTAAGCAGCGCTCAGGAAGGGACCGGTGTTGTTCCGGAAATTGATCGTCTGCCATTTGTAATAATTTTTTGGGAAGTGTAAAACTGCATTTTATGGGTTTTAAGGTATTTCAACAAAAGACTGCATGAGCTATAATCTGTCAAATATAAGCCTCATGAATGCAATCAAGTCATTTAGCTCATGCAGTCCTTTTTACCAGTTTTTACCTTTTCATCTGCAGTTTTAGACATGCCAAAAAGTGATTACAGACGGCAATCAGTTTTCGGCACGATACCGGCTGCTCTCAGTGACGTCACAGTGATTCGTGGTTCAATACCGACGGTCGAGTGAAGTTTCTTCGTGAAGCTTCATTCTGCGAGTCTGTGCATAGGACTTCGCGGGTTGCATAAGCTAAGCGCATTTCCCACGAAGGACTCAGTCTGCTTCCATTGTGCCGCAGAGCAGCATCTGGTTACCAGCACCCTGGCACCCGGTTTGCCCGTGCACACCCTGGGGTGAGGCGCCAGTGCACGCTTGGACTGGGTGTAAAGGCAAACGTGGGAAACCGGACCCCTCCTCAACATAGGCTGCATCCGAAAACTTAGGCAGCTGACTTGCTGCCGAATGAGGCAATGACTTTGCAGGCAGCATTTTTTGTACGAAGGCACCTCATGAAACTGATTTCGGAGAGGTTTCTGAGGCAGCGTAATGGTTTAATGATCTACAACAAAATAGAACGAGTTTTGGTGATAACTAAACGAATTTTTAATTACTATAATACTGATTTCTCGCTAGAAATAACATCAAAAGTACAAAAATTGAGTCAGGAATATACATTTACACACAAACTGACCACCAAACGCAACTTTCAGACGCCATCTTTATTTTTTAGCTCAACCGTCACGGAATGGAACACACAGGATTGTGGGATATCAAAGGTAGCGAAGGATACATCTATGTTGCCTTCAAAATTCAATCAGAAGAAGGTACCTCCGGAGACAGGAAGTAAAGCAGAATTTGGATTCGGACGTGCCTTGATGCCTTCCTGCCTTGGAATGCTGCCTCCGAAGGCAGCATTTTAGAGTTTTTGAACACAATCATAGGGGAAATAGGTGGGGGGAGGGAGCTTTTCATTCAGGGTTGCCAGGTTTTCACAACAAATCCCGCCCAATTGCTACTCAAAACTAGCCCAAGCCCAATTGCATTTTGAGGGGGGTCCCCCGGTAAAAACCGCATTCAGCCCAATTCTGAACACTGTTTTAATTTTCGTAGGGGTACACTTTTTATAATCTGACAAACAGACATTCACCAAAACAATACCAACCCGTATAATAACTGAAATAGACCTTTTATTTGTTTAAAAAAAGAGCACCAATACAAGATATTTTAAACTACACAAAAACCCATTTGTGACCTGTTCTGGCAAAACGAGTCACAATGAGCACATTTTCAAAAACGAGTTATTAAAGACCATAAAGGGATAGTTCACCCAAAAATGAAAATTAGAACATGAATTACTCACCCTCAAGGCGTCCTAGGTGTATATGACTTTCTTCTTTCAGACGAATCCAATCAGAGTTATATTAAAAATAGTCTTTGATCTTTCAAGCTGTTTAATGGCAGTCAGCGGGTGTTGCAGTGCATCAGTCCAAAAGAAGTGAAATGTTGCAAGTTCCATTTTGCCTTAATGTATTAGCAAGATTAGAGATTAGCGTTCCTGCAATATAGGAATCGTTACATTCCAGATTACTTGATTGTATCCATCATAACGCTCTTTGACTTGCTACCAGTAAGAATGAAGACCGTTATTTTAAAGAATGTTAAATCATGAATTAACTGCCAAACCTCGACTGAAATTCATGTCTGATACCTTTGATTTGACTCTTTAACATCCTCAACACAATATTGCATTGTCCATGAAAAGTATCTAAAATAGCACTCATCTGAGTTTGATCACAATGTGGCAGGTCTTA